CTTAACCGGGTATTGAACTCTTTGGGTCCTGTCACTGGATCAAACTAACGCCTTTATCCACTCTGCCATGTGTCCTTGAGGCGTTAGTTAGATCCAGTGACAGGACCCAAAGAGTGTGAGTTCAATACCCGGTTAAGGCAGTGGAGAACTTGGAGTGGAGAATTAACAGGAGATAACTGGCAACTGACATCCATTAAACATGGCACGTGGAACTCGAACAGTCTACCCAAGTTAGCGAATTAGAGGGTTCAGTTCGACATTCTAACCACCTGAAAAGATCAAGAGCGTACAGCGGCCGAAACGTTGTAATAAATATGGCAACCAAGATGCGGACAATAGTCCGAATAATGTAAATAGTGTACATAATACCTCATCTCAGAAATATGGACAGATACAGAAAAGAACTGTTTCTATTATTCTATGAATTATTCAATGTAGCATATTCATATCAATTCAACTTTGCTGAGGAAATGGATCTGCGCAGAGAATACTCACTGGAACGTATATAGCAATAAAGAAAAGTTCCGACATAGTATGGAACTCATTTCGCTCGTTATGGAACTCAGTGCGTCCAAGCAGTGTCTGATAATTGCAGATGCCGAAGCTTTGTAGCGTTATATTCATAAAATCTGATAAGAACGCGTGTAATAATTGTAAAGGGTGTTTCATTAAGACGGAGCAAGGTCATCAGTTAATAAATTAGTGTTATCGGTGAAAATTTATTTATTTCTCTATTGCATCATGTCATTTAAGTTATGGAAATTATGTGTGAAAAATAATATCGCCCAAATGTTCAGACGATATTATTATTCTTCGGCGGCACACCTCCACTCGATGGCCAAAATTTTTGATGACGTCTCTGCAAAGTTGCTCCTCGATCTCACCAATATGTCTTATTATCTCATCTTTCAGCTTTTGAATTATTGTTAGCTTATTGACATAGACCTTACTTCTGAGATGAGCAGAAAGGAAGAAATCTAAAGGCTTCAAGTTGCGCGATCGTAGTGGCCTATTGAGATTATGCGACCTGGGAACTTTTCATTCAAATTCTGTTTGAACGTCCATACGTAATAGACTTAGATAGCTTTAAATTGTTGTTTGATTATTAATTTCTCCATGGTTGAAATTGCCAAAGATTTAAGTTGTTAAATCTGAAAGAAAAAGAAAAAAAATCATTAAACGCTTAAAATTAATTCACATTTAAAATCGGTCCAAGTTATTTATATTCAATTTCTGACTCTGTGAAGTCAGTGTAGTTTTGGGGTACTCCGAACATTCAGCTATCACGCCGGTATCTTAGAAATTCTGTAAGCCCCATCGATGTTCGGGTGTTTATATAACTGACTGCCATCTGCTTATCTATATTCTAAATTTACCTGGGTTGATATCCTATTGCAAGACGACGCAGCAACCAACTGCAGTCGAGATCCGATTCTGCACTTATGTGATTACGAGATCACCTTCTAGGTCAACTCTCAGAGGAACCTAGCTCTATTTATGTTCACATGTGATACCGAGTACAAAGCATAATTTGGTAGCTATTGGCTGAACCCAATATTTATTGCGGTCTCCGCAGACCAACTCCTGTTAGATCAGAATCTCCTATTTGATATTAAATTCAGCTCAGACTTCTGGTGTCTCCTGATGTGATAAATATGCTACCGAATGTAGCATATATATTTACCTATTATTCATTTACGTTTTGTTTAATTGCAATTAGCAGTTTTATTGTTTTATTTATTGACAATCTCACCTAAATGACTTCTAAACTACCTCCTCAGTTAAATTTACTCCGACGTCATAATGTCCGACAAATTTGAGTATGAGATAGATGAAACATCACTCTCCAATTTCGCAAAGTTCATAGGATTAATTTCAGGAATTTCTGGAATTCAAATTGACTTCTTAAAAATCCACAAAAAATGTCTCTTTCCGTAATTCCGCCTCAACTAGGCTGGATGTGAAGCTGTCCGTCTTCAATGAAGAGAGTAACTTCCAACATCCGACACTCAACAAGGCCAACACATCTCTCTCCAACGATTTCCAGCCATAAGAAAGTAGCAGCAGAAACTATGATACTTGTTGGTTTTCTGTTACTTGACATGTATTCTGACATCTCCGGGTATCTTTCCTGGCGAATTGGCGTCAGCTGTAACGTTTTGCTTATTGCCTGCACTGTGATAAACTTCGCGTCCGACTAAATGGAAACTTTGTCTGAGGCACGCTGCATCGCCTCCAACATTTTATTCCCTCTATCAAGCCGTTTCTGGTTGGAACCATTTGAAAGAATCTGTCGTCGTTGAATCTTGTATGATCATCGCCCTAACATCTCTTCTAAAATACTTCTTAGTAGCCTATCGAAAATATCCAACTCTTTTGCTGTCTCCCTCATCATTCTCCTGACAACTTCAATGACAAATCTCTTTGACAATTTGAAGAACTCTCCTAGTGGCGAACTGAACGTTTTCTTATTGGAATTTAATTGGTGGGGTTTCTCTTTCCCATGAGACTTTTCCCAGACATCAAATCAGTTTTTTTTTCTGCAAACATTCAACTGTTTATCACCTCGCAATTTTTTCATATCAGCTAGTTTAAATGTGACAATTTGATAAAGTTTTGTTTAAGGCGCCATATTTAATTAAAGTTTAAGAGATAAACAAAAACAAAATGTTAAGAAATCTTATGCCAAATTTGAAATTACATTTACGAATAGATATGTTTCAATTTATGTTTAAATAATGGGTAAATATTTATACCACATGCGACAGTTTTATCATTCATGAATTATTCGAAAGAATATTCTGATCACTTTTGATTTTAAACGTTTTAAATTTCTTTTTATTTGTTTGAAAAACTAATAAATCTGTGTCTGGCAAAATATAAATATAGCAGGTGTAACAGCAAAATTGTTCAAATCGTGTAACAGCAAAGTTGTCTAAATAGTGTCACAGCAAAATTTTCCAAATCGTGTGACAGCAAAATTGTATAAATCGTGTAACAGCGTTACTTATCTGTCTCACAAAATGTTTAATATCTAAAATAGCACTAAACTAAATGAGATTCTTTATTTTTCCAGTTTTTTTAGATTTAACCATCTTGACAACATTTGTTGTACGAATCATTGAAAAAAAAAACCTTTGATATACTCAAATAGAAAGAGAACAAGTTAAAATCGTTTTGTGTCAGCCCCACTGTTTTCCCTACTGAGCGATGGTGAGAAGAAAATGATCATTCAGGCCTTCAACATTCATATGCTGGCTTCCATCTTCGAAGTCCCTTCAAGAACTATCAAGTGAACGGTGAATAAGTTAAAAAAAAAAAATTGGGAACCGTAAAGAGAAAAACTGGATCCGGAGGTCAGAACAGCAAGAGGGATCATCATTACAACTTAGAGATGAATATATTCTTTCTTGTGGAAAATAGAGACCAGTAGTGTTTTAAAAAATCTTGGAGAATTCCAGTAATATATATTTAATCATTTCTAAGTTGCAACGGTCCATATAATTGGACAATTTGACTGCTACACCCGATATATATATATATATTAAGAAATGGACAAAGTCCGATAATTTATTTATTTAAGACATTTTTATGTTTAACGTTCTATAAAAAAAAAAAGAAAAAAAAGAACGTTAAATATAAAAATGTCTTTAATAAATAAATTATCGGACTTTTGTCCATTTTTAATATATGACGTCATTTGTTTACATTTGATACGCCAGAGCAGTTATGAATGTACGAGATTCATGGAAGATTGAAGTTTATAAGCAGTAAATTCGACCTTGCCTACCGAACGCTCCTTTGTGGCCGATCGGTAAGGCACGTCAGCGTAAATGACGGTTCTGTATAGGATGCAGGTTCGAATCCTGTCAAAGGACGAATATTTTCTATGAAAATTTCTCGGACATTTGCCGGTAAATGTTATGTAATACTGTTTATTATAAACAGAGCATTTACTTAAATACTTGTATATATATAAAAAAAAAGAACGTTAAACATAAAATCTTTATATATATATATATATATATATATATATATATATGTTTGTGTGTGTGTATATATATATATATATATATATATATATATATATATATATATATATATATACACTTTCTCACAGACGCGCCGTCGCCTCCTCTGTCTGTTTACTAAAATACTTTCATGGAAATTGCTCGAGGAGCTGCATTCGCTGGTTCCCAGACGTCATGAGTTCAAACGCCCTACGAGGCTGGCATCCCGCTCTCACCCCCTCACTGTCGAAACTCATAAATGTAGCCGTCTCTTCTACTCTAATAGCTTCTTGTCTCGCACCTCTCGCCTGTGGAACTCTCTTCCCTTCTCCTGGGTCCCTGTGAGCTATAATCTCCAGCTATTCAAGTGTAATGTCAATCGACATCTCCAGTTGTCTTGATCTATCCACTACCCTCATCCTTTCTTCTATCACTCCTATCTGATCTTGCTATTTCCTGTAACCCCTTGCATCCTAGTGGCTTCCTGCCTTGTTTAGGGTGAAACGCTTAAATATATATATATATATATAGATAGATAGATAGATAGATAACTAGACTCGTTTCGAAAAACCCTCGAATTTTTGATTTGCTAATCAAATCAATCTCGAGGGAAAAAAGGTTTTTAAAAAAAGAAAGAGCTACAAACATGAATTTCTGCCGACAAAAAAATCGCACAGATGCAGGTCTGAAGCCCAAAGAAAAAAACCCCGATATGAGTAACAACTAACTAACAAAAGAGCTCAATACAACCGTAGCCAAACTTTCCCTGACGATCCGTTTAGGTGAAACCTAGGTAGGTTTGTCTGGCTCACTAGGTATATATATATATATATATATATATATATATATATATATATATATATATATATATATATATATATATTTGCTTTTCGAATGACCGCTGACCTTAAGACATTTTGTGACCTGTCTTACAACGGCTGACGGAATCGGTGTCATCAAATATGTATTTTTATTCTGTAAAATGTATAGACGAAAAATAATTCTTCATCATCACCAGGTCGAACATGCTCGGCATTCTATGACTCGCTGCTTCCATTCATTCCTTTTATTCATTGCAAGCTTATTCGGTCTGCATGTCGTCAATCAGATGGTCAATGTTCATCTTCTTTGGTCGACCTTGTGTCATTTTTCCATAGGAAATGTATCCACAGTAGAAAGTCTTCAGCTATTTCTTCTTTGTTACGCTAACAGAAACTAGCAAATCCTGGTCTTTTTTGACGTATTAATAAGGGAGGTTAATTGCCATAGAACTCCTTCTTTGTGGGGCGGTTTTTCCAGGATTTATTTAGTACTGATCGAAGCATTCGTGTGTAGGCAACTTTTATCATGAACCAAATATTCTTACAATACTTTCATCAAGTAGAATAATGGATAAAAAAAAAATGAAATTTAAAAAGCGAATTCTAACTTCAGTAGGTACAGTTTAACTTCACATCACACCTTCCCCGAAAACGCACCAATATCTTTCTGTAACAGAACATTTGGTTCTCTTTGGAATTGGATATTCGATCATAGGTTAGATCAAGGATCATTCGTTGATCCTAATAGTTATGTGTCGCAGTAAAACTTGCATTACTTTTTATACAGTGTAACCCGGATATAAGAGAGTTGTCGGGACCGGAGAAGAAGTCTCTTATATCCGGGTTTCTCTTATATCCGGGTTTGGTCTATTTTATATACATTAACACAGGCTCTAATTTGGGACGAGAGAAAATCTCTCTCATATCCGGGTTTCTCTTATATCCGGGTTACACTGTATTAATTTTCACGTAATACAAGAGTTACTAATCTTAGAAGGATACTTTTTTTTAATGACGAATAAAGTGTGTAGTATAAAAATTCAGAAGATGTGGTACAAAGTAACCATGATGAAGATGAGTACGAGAATGATAGGTAATGCTTGAAACTTGCCTTGATGAGCTTAATATGATCAAGCAAGTACGCAAGCACACTATCCGTTCCCCGAATTATCAATTCTAGAAGATAAACTGTCAGAGTGGAAATTTTTTCTTGAAAATCCTCCAGTTCCTATCCCACGAACGCAGGTGTTCTTCAAGGCTCCATCCTAGGCCCCACTCTATTCCTTATCTACATAAATGACCTTCCTGACGCCGTTACTTCTCAAGTCGGCATCTACGCGGATGACACCACAATTTATTCCTGCCTCAAAAACAAATCTAGTCTCGCTGACAAAACTCACCTGGCCGTACGTCTCAAAAAGGACCTTCAATCGATTGTGAACTGGGGCATGAATTGGCTGGTCAACTTCAACGCTTCGAAGAAAAAACTGCTCTCTATTAATCACCACAGAGAGCCTTCCCTTCCCTCCATTAGAATGTCTGACGCTCAACTTCTCGAGAGCAACTCTCTGCGGCTTCTCGGTCTCACGTTGACTGCTGAGCTGGTTCCCAGACTTCATGAGTTCAAGCGCCCTACGAGGCTGGCATCCCGCTCTCACCCCTTCACTGTCGAAACTCATAAATGTAGCCGTCTCTTCTACTCTAACAGCTTCATGTCTCACACCTCTCGCCTGTGGAACTCTCTTCCCTTCTCCTTTCCCTGTGAGTTATAATCTCCAGCTATTCAAGTGTAATGTCAATCGACATCTCCAGTTGCCTTAATCTATCCACTACCCTCATCCTTTCTTCTATCACTCCTATCTGATCTTCCTATTTTCTGTAACCCCTTGTGTTCTGGTGGCTTCCCGCCTTGCTTGGGGTGAAATGCTTAAAAAAAAATATGGAGGAAATCAGGGTGTTTCGACACTGTCGAAGTAGCATAATGTGTCATCGCTGTAAAGGTTTGACTTGTTGAAATAAAGAATGGAGATGATCAGAATTTTTTTTTTCTTGAAAATAACGATAGAGTACCGGTAGGATTGTAATTCTTCGGTTGAATAATAGACTTAGAATGTGCAAGACAGATTCTTCCCAAGGACATTGTCTAGAACGACACGTGGAACGAACTTACCTAACACCAGACGCGACGAATTTAGTATTTAGTGGAGTTCATCAATGCTAATGTCCAAACGACGAATTCCTTCTTTTTTGTCTTCTTTGTTTCTATTCTGTTCGAATGGGCATGCATAGAGTTTCGAGAAATAATTACATCAGATGAAATGCAATAAAAGACGTAAATTAGTTCGTTCAGTTGCCGAATGACAATAAATGCGGAAGATGACCAGAGGAATGTCAGATCAGTTTTACGCATCCAAATTAAAAGTTGGGGAAATGATCCGAAGATGTATCAGAAAAACGAATAAAGAGAGAGAAAGATTTGATGCTGTCAGCGTGTATAGAACAATGAATTGAAATTAGCCATTATTTGACATCCACTGTGTTGAAAAGATCTTACAAAAGAAGAAAAAAAGAAATGAAAAGGCAATGAGCTCTATATCCGTATTTCTTGCACTATTTTTTCCTAAACGTTTTCCACAAGTCCCTTTCTATTATTACCTAAATCTACTTTGGACTGATATCTATCTATATCTCCTATACATTTTTTATTTATCTATTTATTTAACGATCTTAAACATTACATCTATCTAGCTAGCTAGCTAGCGAGCTGTCTGTCTGTAAATATGTCTATTTAAATCGGTCTTTTCTTTAACAACCGATACCAATCTTAGCATTATCTATCTATCTATCTATCTAGCTAGCTAGCTAGCTAGCAAGCTAGCGAGCTAGATAGATAGATAGCTATAGATAGATACATAGATAGATAGCTATAGATAGATACATAGTTATTTAGATAGATAGATAGATAGATAGATAGATAGATAGATAGCTATGTGTCTGTCTGTGAATATGTCTATTTAAATCGGTCTTTTCTTTCTCGACCGATACCAATCTTAGCATTATCTATCTATCTATCTATCTATCTATCTATCTATCTATCTATCTATCTGTGTGGGCAGTACTGTTTATTTGTATTTATTTGTATATTTTGTTAAACTTTATGCTATCTATCTATCTATCTATCTATCGATCTATCTATCTATCTATTTGTCTGTCGGATAATCTGTGTATCTAAATCGTTTTTTGACCGACACCAAAATTAACATTATCTATCTATCTATCTATCTATCTATCTATCTATCTATCTATCTATCTTCGATCGATCCCAATGACATTATATGCCTATTTCTTTCTATCTATATCATTTTATACTATTGCTACCATGAATATGGTAATTCTGCCGTTTATAATGCCTTCCTGAAACGACTGGGAAATCAACAATAACTTCAAGACTGAAATATCATTACCATTAACACAGGGTACCCAATGAAGCCTCATGATATCACCGAGATTTGATGATTTTCCTTGCCACTTTACGAATGCTAACTGGGTTTGTGCCTGATCTGGGAATCATTATCTACTTACTCTTCGAATGGAAACTTTTCAAATTTCGTCTCGAAGCCGAAAGAAAACTTTTACATAGAAATACAAGCGGGAATATATCCGATACCGAGGCATATCTTCACATTTTCCCACTTTACGTTAATGAGCTCACTCAAGATTTTCCTGAAAGGAATTTCTGATTCAATGACCTGAAATTATTTTAATTAACTTACCGGATGGCAAGGTCAGGCTTGTTGAGCGGTTAACATGATCTCGCCCTGAATGGCGACACACACACATACGTACACACACACACACACACACTACAAATACTCAAATATATGAATGTGTTTTTATGCATCTCTCTCCCTCTCTCTCTCTCTCTCTCTCTATATATATATATATATATATATATATATATATATATATATTTCATAATTACAGATTTTATTATAGTAATATCAACTGTTAGACTAATTTTACTTTTCATGATTAAAAAGAAAAGCGAAAAATAAAACAAGCACATCCGTTCGGTTTCTTCCTTCCTCGTAAGAGATGGATTGAGATATAAATAAAATAATAAAACATTAAAACTATATTTAATATTAATAGAGACGGAAGACAAATTAAATTGAAATGACGTTAAGTCCTAACAGACACTCCAATTGTTTACAGTATTGTCACCCAAGAAATCTGAAAATATGTCGCATATATATATATATATATATATATATATATATATATATATATATATGATAAGCAAATATAAATGGATATAAATCCGACAGAATGAAGAAAATATCTGGAAAAACAAAACTGATTATGTTAATTGTATTTTAATGAATGTTGTCCTGAAGAAGGTTATTAAACCGAAACGTTAGACGTCGACATTTCATTCGTATTAAAACAACATAATCGCATTTTAAGGATTTTTGTTTTGTTTTTCCAGATATTTTCTTCATATATATATATATATATATATATATATATATATATAATATGAAAAAAATAGTTTTCGGCTTTATTATTATTATCCAGAAATCTATTATCAGGTGCGAGAAATGTCCACTGAAATTTTCTCTCATTTCTTAAAATGAGATTCTTTGAAAATAGCTGTCATTAAAGGTTGTTGTTTATCTGATATATATATATATATATATATATATATATATATATATATATATATATATATATATATATATCAGATAAACAATATATATATATATATATATATATATATATATATATATATATATATATATATATATATATATATATCGACACAAAATGGGTTATGATCCATACCTATATCACCTTGGAGAAGACACATTGAATATATGTCATGGTTGAAGACATCATACTATTTGAGTGACAAGTTATACCACGAAGTATAATTTTACGACGTGATGTTGAAAAATTATCAGCCCCACCCATTTTCCAAATTTGAAATAAACGTATACTACTAGAAATACACGGCCTTAATCGGGGTGAAATATCCTATTTCATAAAATTTTAAGTATTTGATAAACTTCGGAAAGCTTCATTCCTACTTATGTATTGACCTTGTAAGTTATTATTGATTTAATCTGGATTATTTTGGTGTTGGTGATCAAACATAGCAGCATCTGATCCTGCGTTTACATATTTGCATCCGTACTTCATGAATTTCAGAGAATTCCAAAATTAAACGTTCATGTGTGCATCAAATCTCTTCAAAAGGAAAGGACAGTAAGGAATAATTCACCTATTATCAATTTCATACTAGTTACCAACTGTTGAAACTTGAATAAAGCATGGAATAATAATAATACAACACAAAATGTACTTAAACAAAATGTATTGACACAAGAACGTGTACACAATATTTACAGATAGTTTGGTATATTCTTGGGAAGACCGTTCCTGTAGAATGGGTTGACTTAGTCACCAGTCGGGCAGAGTCTCTGGATTGGATCTCTTCTTCCTCCTCCGTCTTTCCGGTACCAACCATATTTATATGGTCGGTACACCACTATGTAAATTAGGTGGATCCTACCACAACACCAACTCTTCTTTGAAATCCACCATCTTCAGATTTTCCTCTTCTGTATGACGAATATCCATTTTCCCAAGTTTGTGTCTCCCCTCAAGAAGACTCTGGGATATCTCTTGGTATACTTTGCCAATTTCATACAGTGATCTGTCTTTAGATTGTTCTGGTATTTCAACAGAAATGATTTTATCAATTTGATTGAAATGAACTATCTCCATCAAGCAAATTAAAATGTGAGCATGAGGTCGCCCACGTTATTGCAGTTCGATAGTGTAAATATTGCATCTGACTGTACTAAATACCATATCTTCTTTCAGTAAGTCTAACATTTTGATTACCTTTCGCCTAAACGCCCGAGCTATAAGATCATGTCTATGAACAGGTGACTGTTATTCAAGTAGTTCATTTGGAATTTATTTCCATTTTGGATTGCAGGTGAAGGTTATGAAAAAAGTTGGGTGGCCATATTGTCTAACATAATTCATTGCATCTTGTGTTCTTCATGATTGTATCGTGGGCTTACCATAAAACGGGATGGAAAGATACAAATTTGGCCCAATTCTGTTCCAGCAGTATCATTGTTGATTCCATCTTTAAAGTGAATATACTCATCAGTTGAGTTTTTTTGGGTTCCACCTAAGGTATCCTAATCTTATTCAGTTTTAGCATACTTGTCAACTGCATAATTCTGAAACTATTGTTGATTTCTGTGTAGATGATAGAATGTATTAGAATGAATTATGAAATGGTAAGCATAGAAATCCATTGCCAAGAAAATCTAGTTTTCGCCAGCTTCTGCTCCAGCCTTGGGGATGCTTAGATGATATTCGTTCTCTCCATTCACAAATAACAATGGATATTGCAAGCCATCACAATGATACCCAGTTTTTTTCACCTGTCATTATAGCAACTTCATTACACTCAGGTGCATTTATATAGCCGCGAATGATCTCCAGATGGTCTCTTTTTTTTTTAAATCTCTCTTGACTGTCAATATGAGATGGGTCTACCTCTAGAACAGATTTGAAACTGTATTTAAGCAGCAATGCTATGATTGCATGAACCGGCAGCCAGTCAGTCATTTTTAACAAAACTTGTATAAACGAGGTATTGCTGCCCAAATAGAAAATTATTAAATTACATGATCCGGTAGTCAAAATTTTTAAACACACACACACACACACACACACACACACACACACACACACACACACACACACACATCACAGACACACACAGACACAGACACACACACACACACACACACACACACACAGACACACAGACACACACACATTTTTAACGAAACACACACACACACACACACACACACACACACACACACACACACACACACACATATATACACACACACATATACATATATATATATATATTTGGTTGGATAGATGTGAGTTTGTGACCCTGGGTTTCACGCTTTAGCGATCGTTAGCTCTATCTCTGATATTGAGCGCTTTCTAATAAGTACCGCGCATATAATATATAAATAATTATACATATATATATTTATTTATATTTATATACACACACTTTTCATATATATATATATATTAGGTTGGTGCAAAAATAATGACGTAATAATCCTCATTTTTGATGTATTTTTTAACGTCAAAAAACGACATTATTACGTCATTATTTTTACAACTAATCTAATATATATATATATATATATATATATATATATATATATATATATATATGTGTGTGTGTGTGTATGTGTGTTTCTGTATTTGAGTGTCATAGAAAAATTTGAGAGGGTATAAGCAAGAAAGAGAGTGAATGTCTCCTTCATATATTTGACCTGCAATTTTTCTTTTATATTTAAATTTAAATGGAATTAAAAAATGAAAAGAAAACGTAAATTAATTCCAAATCTTAAAAAAATATATAATATATATATATATATATATATATATATATATATTATTTTTAAGGATTTGGAATTATATATATATATATATATATATATATATATATATATATATATATATATATATATATATATATAAATGAATGTTAACAAAATTAATAAAAAACTGGTTTTAACTCGTGGAAATTTCACGGTGTTCCTATTTTAATATACTGATTAATCTTAATTATTCAAATAATGATTGACAATCAAATATCTGTAGAATTCTACTAACCATCATCAATATGGTAGTTGTTATTTAAAGAAGTAAAGAGCTACAAATAAAAAAAATGAAATTGGCAAGTTTTTTTTTCTTTTCACTGAAACTGATGTTAAACACATTTATCTTCCCTTCTTTCTTTCATTTTCTCACAAAAACCAAATAGCATCTTTGATATGCCTTTTTTTCTTACGCGATCAAAATTGAATAATCCATTATTCTTTTAGGTATTGACAGGGTGCAATAGTGGTGAGAACGAAGGGATTATTAAAGGGAGGGACAAGCACAATCATGAAATTATTCTATTGAAAGTAATTTCATAATGATTACAAATCATACGAAAAGATGGAACAACCTCACGCCTGGGAGTTTCCTTCAAACACTTGACAACTTAATCTTCGCAGTCAATCCTTATCAGGCGTCTATATCTCTATAATCTTCATTTCTTACTCATTTAGTTACAGACGTTTCTTGGAATATTGTCTAGAACTTCTAAATATGAAAACAGAA